TTCGAAAATGTCTCAACGAGATATCTTTTGCACATTCAAAGTCTCTGTGAAATATCTTCAAGACATCTTAAATACATCATTGTGCCGTCTGGGTACCCAGATAATCACTCAGATAACCAAGACTGAGTGAGCATATTTTGCAAAATCTGCAATAACACATTATGCCAGTACAATGTAGTCAGTATTCAAACATAATCTGTTATTTCAACTAGTGTCGACAGAAAAACAAAAAAAAAGAGAATATAAATGTGTCATGTCGTGATGCAAATATTATTACATCAATCAAGCAGAACTTGCTCAAAAAAATGTAGCAGATTTGAAGCGTGCTATTGTCATTTTATTCTTCATTAATTTCTATATTTTTGCTGTGTTATTTTCTTTACATATCGTGCCTACATAATTCACTCACTATGATGACACAGCTGAATGGAGTCTGCTGCAAAGTGCTGATTAAACCTGCGTGCATACTGCTGGCATACTGCTATCATTTGGCTATCGGGGTATATACATAATCTTTATACATAATATACATAAAATGTTTAAATTTGAATATTTAATTGGCAACAAGTATATAAATATTAAAATGACATCTATGTGAAATATTATAGTATTTATACTTTTTACAACAATCAATTGTCTGTATAATATTTACTGTTAAATAAATAATTTTAATAAATAATTTTACGCTATTATTATAGTATTAAAAAAAAATAACTTACAATTTTATGCACGTACGATATTTATTGTTTATTAATACATAATTGATTTTTCTTAAACAGATATGAAAAGCGATTAAGTATTATGGCCAAACTGCACTCTCTTAGTAGAATCAATTAAAATTTCACTAATTGATTCAGTGATAAAAAAGTTTAACCGGGAATCAGTGCCTGGCAAACACAAAATATAACTGCTACATGGGAGTAACATATAATGTAACAGTTATACCTGATTTATATTGGGGTTATATAATTTTCTTTTATTTATGCAATATAACTCAGTAATGAAATAATTATATAGTTTGTTACTTACTGGCAACAAAATAACTATAATGTATATATAATGTAACATGTTATATGACAAATTTTATGTCTGCGTTACTGTAATGTGACAATTTATATAGGTATGATTGAGTAATTTATTGATGAATAGAATTTGAAAATTTTATATAAAAAAAAAGATATGTATGGTTGTGGAAATATATATTGATAAAAAAGGATACTTTTAATAACTAATATAAAAAGTGAAGTGAAAAAGAACAGTCTCATGATGTATATTTTATGAACATGTTATTGTCAAAGCTCGAAGCACGGTTGTTTTTAGAATTGATTAGTCAATGCGGAACCAAGCGTCTTGATTAAAGCCTAAATATTTGAGACGTATAAAATATTTCGTTTGTATCATATGTTATCATACACGTGTGGGTTGACACTTCCTTCCCGTGAAAACCTAACCTAACTAATCTATTCTGAACTATCTATTGTGAATGTAAGACATCACAAACCAATTAGACTCCCAGATAACCAAGACTGAGTGATCATATTTTGCAAAGTTTGCAATAACACATTATGCCAGTACAATGTAGCCAGCATTCAAACATAATCTGTTATTTCAACTAGTGTCGCCAGAAAAACAGAAAAAAAAA